AGGGGTGGGGGTGAATAAATGTTCTCTACAATCCCCCAATCCCCCAGACACACAATATGTACCTAGGTGCATGCATGTAGGACCAGGGCCTTTTCACTGCACACAAATGAAGTTGTCATCCCATTTCCACCAGTGGGTGCATACTGATGTCCTCCTGGGTTCTTGCTCTTGTTGAATCTTCTGAAGCCACTCTAGTTCTGCACAGCTCTGCTCAGGCCCAACTCCTGCTTCCTTTTGACCCTGCTGATATTCTGTGTCATCTGGGCACATTTTCCCGGGATTTGATGCTGACCTACTACTACCTCCAGCTCTGCTGATGCCTTTCATTTCCCCCAGACAGGTACAGGGCAGTCTTGTCCCTGTGGTGAGTAGATTTCACTGGAGAGTAGTGATTCTTTCAGTTGATTAACTTCAGGCCACTACTTATAGATGGTCACCCAGCTTGATGCAATGTTCCATGCCACTGAGATCTCTGAGGAGTGTCCCACCATATTGACTTTCAGCTCTCCAAGTGGGAACTGAGACAAAGACCCCCTCGGCAGAACCCTCTGGGAAATGTCAGTCCCCTGTGTGTGTAAAGTGGGATGCAGGCCTATGCCAAGTAGCTGAAGTCCTTGGGACCCTCTTTTAATAACAAACATTTGAGTTAGCTCTTCCTGAGGTCTGGGCTCCCGATTTAAATGAGCCTCAGGTATCTAATTATGACCTGTCTCTGTCCTTTTCTCTGAATGGCTGGTATACTCAGTTCCATCAGGACGGTTTATTCATGATCTTGTCCCAAGATTCCACACATAGATGGATTTCACATAAATTTCTAATGCTACTCTAGTTCAGAGAACATATAAATCTTGTGGCTTTTCTCATAAAACATTTCTTTTTGCATAAGAAGAAGCAATAGAAGACCTGTAAGGGAAAAATAAGATTAAATTTGATCAAATTTGGCTATAAAAGTTTCTGTAACACAACAGGAAAATGGCTATACTTTCCCCTCCCACTCAAATCATTACCTTTCATTTTACTACAGAAGCTAAATTATTGTTTGTCACACCACAGGACATTGAATTAGCATTGGAAGCCATCAACTAGGCAGAAGCTGGAGTCTGGTTGAAATGCCAAGTGACTTAGTATTCTAAGCTTTAGTAGAAGTAAAAGTGTGCAATGGAGTGAACTCGAATTCAGGCATGTTTATTTTCATATCCGGCTTATACAGGATGAAAAGAGATTCTGTATATGAGTCCTTCTCATTATCTAAGCACTGCCAACCAAAAGGCTGACCATACTAACTTGTCGGTCCATAGATGATCTTCAAGTAGAAAGTGGGTAAGCGGTCCTTGGGTAATTCCCTATGCTGCTCACTTCAACTATGAGCTATGACTTCATATGGGCTCTTCCTACTAATTAACAACAGCCATTTGGCTGAATCCTATTCACTTTTCAAGTTCCAGTTGAAATGCCCCTTTCTCCAGGAAGTCTTCCCTGACAACCCAGCTTGAGTTAAGGCCCCTTCCTGTTTGCTGTCTTAGCTTGGTGTATTTTTCTCTTCACATCAGTTATCATAGACCCCTTAAAATTATGCCATTCAGACTAGATTGCAAGCAATTTGAGATTAGAGACCAAGCCTGTTTTCTTTATTATGACATCTCCCTTCACCAGGCCAGCTCTTGGCACACAGTGGGTATATTTAGTTCTACAGAGAAAGGGGTGGAATATAATGGTGTGTCTGCTGTAATAACTTATTGTGAGGATCAGAACATGTGACACTTGGAGGGAACTTTGGAGAGGAGGAAGGCATTGGTGTGAGGGAGAAGGGAAGTTAAACCTTTAGAGGTCAACTACTCTAACTGTCAAAGGATGAGAGACTGGAGACTAAGATCCCAGGGAGTGACATGAAATGCATGATTCCCACATGTGTGTGTTTCCATGTCTCATTGCACCACCCACAGAGCTTTCCTGGAGTCCTCATCTGGTGTGTTTTCATATCCTAGTCACCTTGCAAAGCTCAACTTATCCCTGAAAACCGAGTCCAAGCACTTCCTCCACTTTAAATCTCCCTAGGAGAGACCTTTCTTCACCACCACCAATCCCATCAATTAGAAGTAAGGATCTCTTCTTTGGGCCTCTTTCGAATCTGTATTTCTATCAAACACACAAATATAGTTGTGTCAGTTCAGGGGCTTTTCACTCAAACTCACAGAGTTTAAATTGTCCTCTACCACATATTAGCCCTATCACCTTGGACAAGTTACTTAGCCTCCTTGTCTTTGTTTATTCACCTACTGTGTAAGTTAGGGTTCTACCAGAGAAGCAGAGCCAGTAGGAGATATATATATATATTAAGAGATTTATTGAAAGGAATTTGTTTATACAGTTGTGAGGGCTGGCTACCCAAATCCAAAACCCACTGGGCAGGCTGTCAAGAAGGGCAAGCTGGAATTCTGGGGCACAGGTAAAAACTGTTGTACAAGGCTGGAATTTCTTCTTCTTCAGAAGAAATTCTGATATTCTGTGACATCCAGGCACAGAATATCAGATTTTCCCAGAATTTGCTGCTGACCTACTACCTCCAGCTCTGCTGATGCCTTACATTTCTCCCAGACAGTACAGGGAAGTCTTGTCCCTGTGATGACTGGACTTCACTGGGGAGCAGTGATTCCTTCAGTCAAATAACTTCAGGCCACTACTTGTACACAGTCACCCACTTGACACAATGTTCCATGGCACTGAGACCTCTGAGGAGTGATAGCCCTCAACTCTGTTCTTAAGGCCTTTCAACTGATTGAACCAGACCCACCCAGATTATCTAGGATAATCCCCTTTATTTATAATCAACTGATTATGTACTTTAATTGAATCTATAAAGTATCACAATGGCAACGCCTAGATAATTATCTAGATAGCTGGAGACTATAGCCTAGAAAAACTGACATGTTAAAAGTCCATCACACTTATTATCGGTGGGGGGAAAGTGTAAGAATAAAACCTACCTCATAGGGCCATTATAGGGATTAAATGGGTTTATCCATATCATGCATTTGGAATAGTATTTGGTAAATGACAAGCCCCCAGTAAGCGTTAACTTCTAATACAGTGTTTACCGTACTTTTCTATACTTATTTTTATATGTCTGCTTTCCCTACTAAATTTTGAAATTATTCTATTCAGTTATGATGTACCCAAAGTTTGTAGAGGCTGACCTTCAGTCTGGGTTAGTTAAATCATTTGAATAAATACTTTTATTTCTATTTTGAAATGGCTCACAGACAACCCAGAAGAATAGCATATGAGGAATTTATTAATGAAGACTACTCCTCTTCGTGGAATTTTTTCCTCACCTTGGAAGACTCCAGAGATGAAACATTTTGGGCCATTTTCCAATGAAGGAAAGGGCATGATGGTATCAGCCAAGTGAGTTCTACAGCTTCCACTTTAACATGAGTTTCTAATGGTGTTGCAGATAAGCTACAGTTTGACAGAAGGCCAGGAAACAGAAGGTCCACCAAGCCGTCTACGGATTTGAAAATATATTAAGCCTAAGAAAGTAAGTCATTTGATTTCTGTAGTTACCGTATAGAGTTTGTGAAAGAACATCAGCAAAGAGTGGTTTACTTTCTTTCATGTTCCAGGAAGAAGTTCATTTTCTCTGCATGTTACACCATGATGAAGGGATTTTCATTTTACAAAGGTTCAAATAATGATTGAAGTCTACGTTCACATATCCCTGGGATGAAAAATTAAGTTATTCCATAGAGTTGCCCAAACCTTCTGGAATGTCATTTCCTGCACCCCTCTGTTCACATCCTGGTGGTAGATTTTTTTTACCCAGTGTAACTTAATACAGTAGGAGGCTGAAACTCATCGGTAATCTCGACTTTTGTGTGGCAAGAATGGTATAGTATCTAAGGTCCAAAAACTATGGAGGCAGTGTTGAGGATTCACCTTGGTCTTCATTTCTATCTTTCTTGAGATGTTTTTCCATCCATAGACACTACTTCAACTTGGCACTTATCTGCAAATATTACCGGTAAGCACAGTTGCAAAGAAAGCTCAGTGGTGTGGCTTTAGAATGATCCTGTTTGGAAAGCTAAGTGCAAGCAATGTTGAACATTTAAAAAATGAGGATTAAATGCAGGTGCCAGTAAATAGTTTGTGTACCTTACTTGAGCTAAAAGATCACACAAAAGTATGTTGTTAACTTTTCTGTTCTATTGTCCAATACTTTGTAGTGAGTTCAGAGAGTATGCATATGTTCTACACCAAACATATTCTATATCAAATATATATATGTTCTATATCAAAAGTAAGTATCAATTGTATTTATCCAATTTTGTGTGGAAGCTCAATTCTTCCCAAAATATTTGCATATTATCTATAAATAACCAAATATATAAAGTAAGTGTGATATAATTTCTCATTTCTTTTGTCTTAAATTTCTTGTAACCAAAAAAACATTTTCAAGGTGGCCAAATTTTATTAACAGTTGTTTGAGAAAGAGAATTCATGAGAACCTAAATTTGTTACTAACTAAATAAACTAACAGTGGATTGTTCACTTACTCATTCACTTACTGGACATTTATCCAGTGCCCACAATGTGCAGGAAATGTAATAAGTATCAGCAATATAAAGAGAAAATAGAAATTCCAATCTAGTTGGCAAGTTATCCAAACAGTGTTGTTGTACTATGTTAGGAAGAATGAGGTGCCATGGACAGCAGAAGAGGGGCACCCAGGCTCTAAGTCTTACAGCAAGCTTCCTTGAGGAAATGACATCCAACACTGAGACCTGAATGAATTCATCAGATAAAGTGTGTGTGTGTGTGTGTGTGTGTGTGTGTGTGTGTGAGCATGCGGATATACACACTCACGGAGAAAGATGTCAGACACATGCAAAGTGTTGCAGACAAAGTAGAATATGCAGGGCTCTGTGGCCAATAGCAGCACATCAAACACTAGCTTACAGTATTCAGTACATCTAAAATAGAGAAGGTTTGCAACATGTTTGTTACAGGACAGAGGATGGGGGAAGAATGTTAAGACTGAAGAAGCAGAAGTCCAGCAAAGAGGAGTGGTGGATGGATTTCAGAGACATTCAAGAGGTAGATCATCAGGATTTTATTGAAGATAATATTTCAGTGGTGAGGGGAATAATGAATAAAGGACTGAGCTGTGAGCTCTGGCATGAGTAAGGGAGTGAAGAGTGGTGCTATTAATATTAACAATGAACACCGGAGGGGGCAAGGTTTTCAGAGGAAGATGACATATTTTGAATTTGTCATGCCAGAGGAACATCAGGTGGAAAGATCCAGTGAACAGTTAGAAATGTGGCTGACTCAGGAACCCCTGGAGAGAGACAATTTTGAGATTCATTGTCTTACAGAGGGGTGTTTCTCCCTCATGGCACTGGTAACATTTTTAGCCAGATCCAGCTTTGCTGTGAGGCTGTCCAGGGCACTATGGGATATGCAGCAGCATCCCTGGCCTCTGCCCACTAGGTCTGTTAGCATGTCCAAGTCATGACAATGAAACATGTCTCCAGACATTGCCAAATGTCCCCGTGAGACAAAATCACCCCCAGGTGAGAGCCACTGACATGGATGGTACGTAATCCATGAGAATGGATGACTGTAGAAATGAGAGGAAGAAGTTCTACAGTTACAACACTGAAGCACATCATTTAGGGACCAAGAGAAGAAAGAAAACCCCATAAAAGAGTCCGAGGAGTGGTCAAAGAAGTAGAGAAAAATCACAAAAGCAAAGGGAAAAAGTATTTCAGTAAGAAAGATGTGGTCACTAAGGGCAGATGCAACTAAGAGAGCCATAGAAATGAATCCTAAAAGTGGCCCTCAGTTTAGCAGAAAGACTGTCATTGATGGCCAGTGAAAATAATTTTCTTGGAGTAGTCAGGCAGAAGCCAGAAGGCAGTGAGGTGAGGAGTAAATGAATTTATATTGCCTTTCTACATTATTTTATCTGGCCAGACAGGACAACCCAGCTAGAAGAGTGTGGACAGTTAAAAAGATCTTGGGTTGCGGATTAGAAGAGAGTTCAGGGAAGTTCAGTGTGAGTAGAAGCTGAGGATATTGGCAAGAGAAAAATCGAAGTGGAGGACATGGAATGTCAACTGGATAGCGAAAGAAATGAATACAAGAGAGGACTGATGGGTACTGAGAAAGTAGAGAGCTTAGATATGAGCAGTAGGTAAAGTGAAAATTACTGAGGAAAAATTTGGAAGTGCATCGAAACAGTCATTCATCCCAACTGGGCCTCAATTTCCTTATTTGTAAGTTCAGGATGTTAACCTGGATGACCCTGATATCCCTTCAGACTCGATTGTTTTAGGCTACAAGGTATAATAGCATCTTTCTGATTCTTATATGATATAAATACTAAGGAAATGAGAGATGTATATATGAGTTTGTCTATGAAAACTTATTAATACCAAATTTTTCTTTGTTGGGCTTCTCTTTGATTTGGGATCATCTTGATTTTGACACTGTGAGTTCCCTGTAGGTCTAACCAATTTTGATTGATTCTTTACCTTAGAATAGAAAACTTTGGCTATATGAGATAACTTTTTGGTGGTTCAGTGGCTTTACTTTGTATAACAGTGTAAGTTCTCAAGAAGTACAAAGATTAGAAAGCCTTGGGTTTTGTGGCTCTTTCTTGCCTGTTAGCATCCTTTTCTTTTGCATGGTTTCTTTCTCTCCCCTAAGATTCTTTCTGATAAATTAGTAATAATAAAGGCTTAAATGATTGTGTCTTGTAGGAAAATGAGTAGACGATAAAGCCAGGTCAGAAAATATGGGAGGCCCATACCTTTACTTAGCTTTCTGACATCCCAGGCAGGCATCGCTAATAGATTTCAGATTTCAGCACTCCTTCCTGGAATCTGGACATGTGCTTATAGCCATGATTCTTACCTCAGGCTGGACATCAGAATCACTTGTGGAGATTTTTAAGAAGTTAAGTTTCTCAGGCTTCATTCTATATTTATTCAATCAGCATCTTCAGTGATTCTGATGTGCTCTGCCTAAGACTGACTTTCTATGCATGGTTCCAGGCAGATACATAGGAGTTGGTATCTGTGATGAAAGATACATGATCTCAGATGGAGAATTGTTGCTATCTCTCCCCTTCTGCCCCTTCCTTGAGTTTCTCCTTTTCTAAATTTGAGATGCAGTTCAGTTCAAAACACTACACATTGTGAATTAGAACAAGAGTTAATGGATAAAGAAGCCAGATCAAAATGGGGGTGGCTCTATCCAACCCTTCCTCATCTACTATGAAAGTATTCTTGAAGATAACAGTACCAATGAGCTCATGAAAGGATTATTCAACTGAAAGTTGAATATTGATGCATTTATTCCGAAAACATTTATTAAGAACTGGCATAATCAAAAGATGGCATACCTTTCAGGTTGTAAGTGGAATAGGTGGTGAAAACACTTCTTGAAGCAATGAATTATATTTTGCTTACGTATGCTTTCCCCCAAAGCCTGGTATCCAATAAAACTTTAACTCAAACTTTGGATTTCCCCAAGTGAGGGGCATATGAAGAGTGGTAAAGTCAGCTCATCTTAGGCTGTGGTTTGAGAAGACTTTACCATGATGTCACTCTATGATTCTAACAAATAAGCCCTAGCAAAAGTCAGGATGAGCATTTAAGTCCTTCCAGCTCCTTCATTTGTCTTCCCCAGTACCACATCTTTTTGTTTGTATTAGAATTTTCAGTGCTCTTCTGTTGAGAGGTCAGTGTTCATTTACTGATGAGTTTTTAAATTATACTTATATTGGGTGCTCTTTATACTATGCTTCAAATCTTTGACTAATGTTTTGCTAAATTGACTAATCATAAGATCTCACTCTCAGCAAATGTCTCCTCTTAGATAAGGAGCTATTTCATTTTAATGTTTCAATCCTTTTCTAGGAAAAGAAAGATGAAGCATATTTGACAAATGATTGGCCGACTACTCTACCAAGCTACTTGGGTCAGGGGTGGTGTGGGAACCTCAGTGGGGAGGAGACAAGAGGAAGTGTCATGGACTGGGACTGGAAACTCCCCACCTCCACTTCCCCTATGGAAGCTCTGGTTTGCATCGTATCTTCTAATATTTCAAATGAAATGTGAAAAAAAAAATTATGTTCTCCTTAAAACATTTGGAAAATAAACAAAAATACCAAAGTCTTGGAACTCAACAGACAATATCCTAAAACAAAGGTTTTCAACTTTAGCTGCATCAGAATCACTGGAGGGCTTGTTAAAACACAGGTCCCTGGGCTGCACCTGTAGACTTCCTAATTCTGTAGGTCTGGGGTGAGGCCCAGGGATGTACATTTAACCAGTTCCTAGGTGAGGTCATGATGCTGCTAGTTCTGCAACTACACCTTAAGAACCACTTCCCTAGAAATACACAGGTGTAGACTGTACCAATCTTTTTTTTTTTTTTCTTTTTTTGAGACGGAGTCTTGCTCTGTTGCCAGGCTGGAGCACAGTGGCGCAACTTGGCTCACTGCAACCCTTGCCTCCCATGTTCAAGCGATTCTTCCGCTTCAGCCTCCCAAGTAGCTGGGACTACAGGCTTGTGCCAAAAGCCTGGCTAATTTTTGTATTTTTAGTAGAGACGGGGTTTTACCATGTTGGCCAGGATGGTCTCAATCTCTTGACCTCGTGATCCACCCACCTCCCAAAGTGCTGGGATTACAGGCGTGAGCCACCGCGCCCGGCCAACTGTACCAATCTTATACCTGTTGTTTCAATAAGAGATGTCTTTTCATGCTATCTGAGATCTTTGTATGCTAAGACACAATTTTAGCCCTGCCAAACACAGGTTGTTTACATTTTTTAAATTTTATGCCACCGTGCTCTTATATCAGAAGACTTCACACGTAAATCTGGATTTCCAGCTTCTTTTGAAAAATCAGGATAACTGGCATTCTGGGCATCTTTGCCACCTGGCAGCCTTTTACTGGAGAAAAAAAGCTGCTGCCCCCTTTAGACAGGCACGTCTTCCCCTCCCTTCAGCTTCTCCCTACAGATCCCTCCATGCTCAAGAAGTCAGACATGCTCAAACTCAAATCTCAAAGCCTATTGGAAGTATTTTTGGGTTACACAACTAATCATTTAGGATTATCCCTCCCTTGCTGGCTTGACTTTGCTGTAACACTTGGAATGAAGACCATTTCCTACTGTTTGCCATCTATTGCTAATAGGATATATTATAGTGTTAAATATGGATATATTGGAAGGAAATAAAGCTTCCTGTAAATTTGCATAAAATATATTATTCTAGACCTCTACCTTGGCTTAGAAGCCTTAACTAATACCTAATAGAATACTTCACTCAGCCTTAAAATAAATTTCACTGACTTCTACTCATCTGTCAATGCTGGCT